TAATAGTAAAATATATATTAATCGACTCTAAATTATATATAGAATATATTTAGGTTAGTTCTAAATTAATTTAAAATACTTTTAAAAATAATACTAAAAAATAATATTAGTACTATTTAAAGTCTGCGGACTATAGCCTATAGTATTATTTATAATATTATTTAAAATTAGTAGTTTACTTTCATTTTTAAAATAAATATTCAAATAACTTAATTAAAGCCTAGTAATAGCGAGGTATATATTAATTAGCTCTAAATTATATATAGAATATATTTAGATTAGTTCTGAATTAATTTAGAGTATTTTTAAAAATAGTATTAAAAAATAATGCTAGTACTATCTAAAGTTTATAGACTATAGTCCATAGTACTATTTATGGTATTATTTAAAATTAGTAGTCTACTTTTATTTTTAAAATAGATATTTAAATAACTTAATTAAGGCCTAGTAATAGTAAAATATATATTAATTAGCTCTAAATTATATATAGAATATATTTAAGCTAGTCTTAAATTAATTTAGAGTATTTTTAAAAATAGTACTAAAAAATAGTACTAGTACTATCTAAGGTCTATAAATTATAACCTATAATACTATCTATAATACTATCTAAAGTTTATAATTTATAGTACTATATTATAATATACTAATTTATAAATAGCTAATAATTAATATATATAGCTAATTAGCTAACTTTAGTATTTTACTACTAACCTAAAATTAAGTATTATCTAGTAGTTATATAATACTATATTAAAAGTTAATATAACTTCTAAAAATAGATAGAATAATAATAAAGAAAGATAGATAAATAATTTAAAAAGTAGCTAGATAATCTATAGAAGCTATATTTATCTACTAATAATAAAAAAAGTAAAAAAGATAGATAGAAGGGGGTATTTTTAATATAGTAATATTTTTTATAACTACTATAGACCGAGTACGCGGGCACGTAATTCGGAATTGTACAATATTGACTAACTAACAAATTATCCAATCTCTCCATGCTTCCCCCGGCCTGCACTGCCACCAGCCTTGGCAGAGTCACCAGCCTGAAACAAACCCTCGCTGGGCCTTGACTGAGCCTTCGCCGGCCTCTTGTTCTCCCTTTTTCCCAGCTGACGCCGTCCAGGGGCGAGCCAGACAGACTTCCAACCACCAACCACCAACCACCCGCAGCAGCCAGCAGCACCGACAGCACCGACAGGCAGCAACCAGCCCCCCTGGCGTCGACTGCCCGCGATAGAGCGCCTCTGCAGCTTTCTCACGCACGACTAGACGGCCAGCCCGCGCCCTCCGCATCCTCTCCAGCCGAGCTTGGCACCATCGTCGTCAGCCCAGCAGAAAAAACGTTCGTCGCAGTTCCACCTCAGCACGCAGATCCACCGCTGTCCAGGCGCCGCGCTCTCGCTCTCGCTCTCTTGATATACCGCTGCACCAGGGAGACTTCACTTCGACAACAACCTTACGCTCTCCCGCTGCAAGCTACATCTCGACACACACGACTTCGATAGCAAGCACACTCCCTGCCCTTCGAGAGGACTCTGCTACCACGGGCCCTATCCGTCTCCCAGCCGCTTGCTTGCTCTCTGGTGTCTCACACGTCGGACGAGCCCACCCCCCGTCAAATTCTCTCGCTTTCGCCGCTCAGATGACCTGAATGACAGTATCTTGACCGCATGCTACGTTCGCTGACTGCTTGTTGAATCGACTTCGCTTCCCTGTTTTATCGTCTCTCGTTTTGATCACCGTTGCCGTCCATACGTCATATTTTTTTTTTTCTCTGCATAATCTCTCTCTCTCTTTTTTAACCCTCCTTCACCTTTTTCGCCCATCACGACAATGCTCTCCTCTTATCGATCTCCGAGGTCATGGATATCTCTCCTGACGCCGTTGCTCGGGGCCCAGGTGGCCCTGGGATCGATCGACTTGAATCTAGATGACGAAAGTAAGGAAGCTCCTGCATCCCATCTTCTCCAGATCATGCAAAATGTTGTATTAGCCGCTGACGCACCCTTGCTGTGGGGAAATAGATTCCATCAAGAAAGCCGCCAGCCATATCGCCCATGGCATGGTATCCTACTACACCGGAAACCACACTGGAGATGTTCCAGGCAATTTGCCGGATCCTTACTACTGGTGGGAGGCCGGCGCGATGTTCGGGGCCCTTATAGACTATTGGTGGTATACCGGCGACGACGCCTACAACAAGATCACAATGCAGGCGATGCTTCACCAGGTCGGAACGGAAAAGAATTATGAGCCTCGCAACCAAAGCCGCAGTTTGGGTAACGACGACCAGGCCTTCTGGGCCATCAGTGCAATGAGTGCCGTCGAGAACAAGTTTCCCGATCCACCACCAGACCAGCCGCAGTGGCTGTACCTCGTGCAGGCTGTCTTTAACCGTCAATCAGCACGCTGGGACAACGAAACCTGCGGCGGAGGTCTACGATGGCAGATCTTCAGTCTCAACAATGGTTACCACTACAAGAACGCGATTTCTAACGGTGCTTTCTTCCACCTAGCTGCACGTTTGGCGAGATACACCAACGACGAGAGCTACTCCAAGTGGGCCGATAAGGCATGGAAATGGATGACCGCTATCAAACTTATCAGCCCTACATTCCAGATTTTCGATGGAACGGATTCTGCCGACAACTGCTCTGGTATCAACCACATTCAATGGTCGTACAACAATGGCATCCTGCTTCTCGGTGCTGCCCACATGTACAACCACGTAAGCTGTCCCCAATGGACACATATCCGTCCATCATAATACATAATACATATCTTTGCATATGAATTGCTAACACATTTTCACATATAGACCAATAGGGACCCCGTTTGGAAAGACCGTCTGTTCGGCCTTATCAAGGGCTTCGAAGTCTTCTTCTCCCAGAAAGAGCCCAAAGGCGTCATGATTGAAGTCGCCTGTGAAGCCCAAGGAAACTGCAACAATGACCAGCGTTCGTTCAAGGCTTACATGGCCCGCTGGATGGCCGCAACCATGATTATTGCACCCGACACCATCGAAAAGATTAACCCCTTGCTAAGGGAATCCGCAAAGGCAGCAGCCCTCCAATGCAATGGCCCAGACAACGCCTGTGGTCTCTACTGGACTAAGGGAGCGGACTGGGGCACCTCTAAGACCGGAGTCGGCGAACAAATGGCTGCTCTGGAAGTCATCCAATCCAACCTGTGGTACAAAAAACAGGCCTCTGGTCCCGCAAACAGTAAGACGGGTACCAGTAAGGGTGATCCTAATGCCGGTAACGACGCAGGTAACAACCAAACGAAGCAACCATCCGAAATCAATTCCGGAGACAGAGCAGGCGCCGGTATCCTGACCACTCTCATCCTCCTGGGAATTGCCGGAGGTGTCTGGTGGATGGTATCATAAACCAATCCCGCCCTCCGTTCCGTTCCTATTCCCTACCTCTTTGTTTGCTCCTCGCCTTTCCTTTCCAGTTCACATATATGTATGCATTTTACCAGGTGGTCTAATGTTTCATCCCAGCCAACCCAACCATTCTGCTTTTCTCCCTCGTCTCTTCAACTTTCTTCTGTTTCCCTACAGCACAATACATACGCACGCGATCGCACCACACTTGTAACCCTATTGCGTCTCAACTGTATTCCTTGCCCTTTTCTATTTCACCATATTCTTCCTGTCTCCTTAACACCCGTTCCCTTCCCTTCTTACTCGTTTCCTTCCCCCGTCATTTGCTTTAAAAGGAGAACCGGAGTGTAGAGGCGTGGCTGCGCGTCTTAGGCAATATTCATGACCTTGTTTCCCTTGCAGTTACTTCTTTGCTCCCTTGAAGATATCTATTGCTCTGTTTTTTTGCTTCCTTTTTTTTTCTCTTTGTCACTTACAATAAATACGCCCTGGGCACACCGCTTTGCAAATAGTAAATAATAGTTATTATAGTTATGCTTATGCCTCGGTTCTTGGTAATTTCTAGCAGTCTGACTGATATTTCCATCTTTGCAATACTTCTCATTGTATTGGCTTGTCTTTCTATATGTACATGAGCGGGAAGGTTTATCGCTAGTTAATAGAGAGGTAGAAGGTAGAATGTCCTTCATATAGATCAAACAGCCCTGCCGACGCCATCCCTAAATTCAATCCCAACTTTAACGTATAATACATTATATCTTTGCCCATAGATGAATATCGCGGTCCCAGCATCCTCACAGGCCGTTATCTTAAAGGTGGCAGTATAAACCGTATGAAGAGTGGCTGGTTTTCTTCATACTCGAAGTCTAACCTAGCAAGTCACCGGCTAGTATAGAGACGTAAATCAAGAATAACCCATCTTATACCCTCTTGCAAAAATCACTCATTCTGAGTCCTGCTTTGGTTGTACGGGTTGCGTCTGTTGCTTCTTCTTGTCCTCTTCTGCTGTCTTGCTAGTCTCCCACACTATCCAACATGTCCACGTCAGCCATGGAAACAAACAATACGGATCAATTGGGGTGTATGGTTAACAACGCACTGTTCCTACTCGAGCTCGTCCTTTCCTTAAGCTGTGTCATGAAATGATCGAACTCCTGCTGTCGTCTTTCTCGGTTCTCCAAATTGCGTTTCTGAATCTCAGGGTTGAATCGCTATATTGGCGCATATATGAATCAGTGCTGTTCCCTAGATGTAGGCCAGGGAGGTATGCGCATACCTTGAACAATTCCTCGTCTGTAGGGCGCAAGTAGTCTACCAATGCCGGGCCTCCGATAATGAGTACGGCGCCTCTGTATAATGCTGGTCAGCGGTTGTCCTCAGGTTGCAGGCAGATGAACACTTACCCGACAAGCATCTTAGCCCATGATCGTGCTGACATTATGCAGAACAATACCTCTATAACGTGCAAGGTATCGTATAGTGGTAGAGTGATTATCTTCGCCTCAAAAGCATTAAACAACTGCTTTCTCTATCTTCGAGCTCTTCGTCGCTTTGCTGCAAGTCCAAGCTTATCCAGGCTATCTGCCGCTAATCCGTTTTGGGCTTAGCGCGTAACTAGTTAGTTACTCGCGGCGCTCTCTCTCTCTACTTTATCAAAGTCAACATCAACACTTCAAAGTAACACTACAACAACAACGCCGCCAGCATGAACAACACTGCAAATTTGATGTTAACAACACTGGAATTTGGAATGAACCTTATTTTACAGTCAAGAAGCCAAATCCTGGAGTGCAAAGAGTACTTAAAGCCCCAATGCACTCCAAGTACTTATTTGATCACTACTCCTCCACTTATCCACCATTTATCTATATCCTTATACCAATTCCGTACCAGGAAGGCCAGTGTTTTCAAGACCTAGCCTTGAACCTTTCACTTCTCTCTACTTTCTGAAATTACAATGACCAATTGCCCAACAAACCATGTATTGGACCCTGGCGGAGATTTGGTCATTGCTCTACAGGTGGAGCCAGAGCAGCACAGTGTCGAAAAGCCTCACGAGGAGAGTTTAACAGTCTCTTCAAGACAACTCATTCTAGCCTCTGGTTATTTCCGTGAACAATTTGGTGGCCCATGGAAGCTAAGACACCAGCCGAATTGTCGCCATGTTTTTCAACTTCCTCTGAAATGCACCAATCCAGAGGCATTCATGATCCTTATGAAGATATTCCACGGCCATTCCAGGAATGTGCCTCGAAAAGTTACGCTTCGGACACTTACCGATATTGCCCTTCTAGTCGACACCTACAAATGCCTTGAAGCAGTGGAAATTTTTGCGGATACCTGGATCGGCGCACTTAACAGCCGTCTTCCAAAGACTTACTCGGAGGTTGCGCATATGTGGACCTATGTTGCATACATCTTTGAGAAGGCGCACATTTTCCAGATGATGACGAAGCTGGCCGTGAAATCCAGCAAGGGACCAATAACCTCACATCTCCCCATTCCTCCGACAGTCTTCTGTAAGTAGAGCTTGGATTGACTGTTTCTACCAAGATCTAACGATCGGAGCAGTGAAGATTGAGAAACAGAGAGAGGCGTTGATTCTAAGACTTCTGGACTTTACCAACCGCACAGTTTCTAGACTGGAACATGTAGCGACGTCGAACAACTGTGTGTCTGCAGGTATTATTCTGGGGACGTTGTCTGTACGCCTTGCAGATCTTCGTCTTCTGGGCCACAAACCAAGCCAGCGTTTCCATTATGCCAGCTTTGCTACCATATCCAAGGCCCTCAATCAGTTGAATATTGAAGAAACTCCTTCTATTCGGCACCGTGCGGTATGAGATATCCCCGTACTATACCCTGCTGATGCCCTAGCTCACCCGGATCCTTAGAAAACGATCAACTCATGTCTCGAGGCCTTAGAGAAGGGGATAAAGGGGCTTCAACTCTGTGATGTTTATGAGAAGTAGTATGAATGGTTGTTTGGGATTACCTAATGACGCCGTGGGACTCTAGGTATTAGTGTTGACGTGCGACTCGGAGGATGCATTAAGTTCCAGTACGATTACTAGAATGTTTTGAAATGGCGAATAAGTAATCAAGTGTCATTGTCATAAGTATTCATTATCAGATTATATTTAATCATGTATAACAGAAGCGTTTATATACTAAAGCCCGGTCGTTATTCTATAATGATTGTTTCATGCAGCAAGGCTCTTGGGAGCCTCGGTTGCTGGGCCCTCAGGGGTGACATATGCCTAGCACAAGATTAGCAAAGACAGTTGTGATTAGAATGCAATAAATAAACGGTAACGTACCTTGGTCATGCCACCATCGACGACGAAATCAGTGCCGTTAACAAAGCTGCTCTCGTCACTGGCCAAGAACAAAACGGCCTGAGCCTGCTCAACGGCCTCTCCGAATCGGCCAGTTGGGAAGTGAATCTCGCGTCTCAAACGCTTAGGAGCATCGTCGCCAAGCCAGTCCTGGAGAAGAGGGGTGCTGTAATTCACATGTCAGTAAAAATAATATTCCAGACGTTCAATGCACTGGCAGCACTCACTTCAAGGGGGCAGGGCACAGAGAATTGAATCGGAATCCCTCGCGGGCATGCACGATCGCCAGCTCTCTGGTCATGGCGAGCACAGCTCCCTTACTAGCGGTATATGCAAGCTGTGGGGTAGCGCTGCCAACAAGAGCAACGACACTAGCGGTGTTGATGATGCTTCCCTTGGCCTTCTTGTTCTTGCGAAGACTGGCGACGGCATGCTTGCATCCGAACCAGACACCCTTGACGTTGATGTTTTGAGTCAAGTCCCAGATCTTCTCAGGGGTGTCGAGGGCGTCTGCGTCGTCTGCGTGCATGATACCGGCGTTGTTGAAGATGATATCCATGCCACCCCAGGCGTCCAAATGGTCAATCATGGCCTTGACGTCGGCTTCCTTGGAAACATCACATTTTATCGTCTCGACTTTGGCGCCTTCTGGAACGACCTTCTTTACTTTCTCGAGAGCGGTTTTGAGGGCTGGCTCGGAGATATCTGCCATGAGAACGGAGGCGCCCTCGCGTGCGAAAAGGATAGTTGTCTCGAGGCCAATTCCACTGTCATACGTTCCAGTTAGCTTCGTACCAAGAATAGAAGCTATGGGATATCAAATTCTCACCCTGCAGCCCCGGTGATAATGGCATTCTTGCCCTGAAGACGTCCTCCGGCCATGGTGAATCTAGTGGGTTGAAGTGCGGGGAGTTGTTCTGCCGGTATGCCAGTTAGACCAAGCTGTAACAAGGGAGAGACAATATAACCCAGGGAAAAGTATAGTGAGCACTGCAATACTTACTGTGTAGTTTGATATACCGAACTATCAAAGGGCAGCTTGCATTCGTTGTTCAGGAGATGATGAACGAGGGGCAGAAGCAGGCAAGATGAATCAGCCGAAACCGAGAAGCCGGACGCAGCAGAAAGTCTCCACTCGGTGGAGCAACTTTATCTAAGCTCCTGCTCTCCTTTGCAAGCATTTGATATTTGATATCTGAGCATTTGGATTGACGATGATGATAATAGTACAGAGTGGTTGTCGTTAGTGGTCTAGAAGAGTATGGGTAGCTGTGTATTTATATCTGTTTTCCAATGTTGCTACTGAAGGAATGTAGATAGTAATGAGTTTCAGTAAATGGAGGAGAACAGTGTTGGTTATAGAAGAATGATAATCCAGGTTCCCAAGTACCTCAGTTATAGTCCATCGGATAACGCTGCCCTACCCTCACCATGGTGGCACTCCCATCCCCATACCTGGCCCTGGATCAAGGGGCATCACTGATGTTTATGGTCGTAAGTATCCAGGCAAGACTCTATAACTATCCACCCGCGTAGCACTCTCAAAACCCACACAACAGCAAAACAAGAGCGAACAGCCAAAAGTAACTGCTCGTCCTGCCGTTTACTTCAAATTCACTGTCTTTCCAGACGTTGTTGGTCTCGAAATCTCCCTCTCTGGCCCAAGTTTTTATAGACCAGGAAGCGCTTACTAATGTAACATGACTAATCGATCACATGATGTGCAATAAGCCTCGGCGATAACGGCCGGAAGAAGCGACGGCGGCGGGCAAAAAAGGAGACGAAAGCGACGAAAGGGCGACGAAGCCGACGACGTCGAGCTGAGAGGAAGAAGAGACGGCGACCTGCTCTTTTTATCCCTGGCCGTTGCAGCGGATTCTTCGACACTGCTAGAGCTTCGCCGTTCTCGATTCTGCGCCCTGGTTTATTTTTTATTTTATTTTATTTTTTTAAATCCTTGTTTCTGCTGTTCGCTGCATCCCCCGGCCCTGCTGCACAGTCAAAGAGGGGAGACGATCTCCATCATGGCTGCAGAGAGCGTGACCCTCGATAACCTCGAAGAAGTGCTCGAAGATGACGGCCAGGTCAAGGTCGCCGGCTTCGACGCCGATGGTATACTTCGCGGCAAGCTCGTGTCGAAGCGGAAGTTCCTCTCGATCGCGCAAGATGGGTTTGGGTTCTGCTCCGTTATCTTCGGCTGGGACATGCACGACCAGACATACTTCAAGGAGCTGGGGATAAGCAACAAGGAGAACGGATATCGAGATCTGGTGGCTGTTCCGGACCTGAGCAGCTTCCGGAGGATACCGTGGGAGCGAAACGTGCCTTTCTTCCTGGTCAGCTTTCTCGACCCGGAGACCAAGAAGGCGATCTCAGCGTGTCCGCGCGGGCTGCTGAGGACTGCTACCGCTGGATTGGAGGAGAAGGGCTACAGAGCCATGGCTGGAGGTATGATACGCACTACACCAATGCATGAGATGTGACACCCTCCAGAGCGAGGGAGAAGGTAGTTTTTGATTCTAATGTGGCTTGAAAGTGGAATTTGAGTTCTATCAGTATCGAGCGCCGCCGACTGTTGACTCTGCCGAACGCAACTCGACGGGGACCGCCCGCTTTCTCCAATACAATCCGGTTAACGACCTGCAGCCGTTGACGGAGGGGATGTTTGGGTACAGCTTGACCCGAACCGTGCATAACCAGGAATACTTTTACAGGATATTTGACACATGTCGCGAATTCGAGTGTGACATCGAAAGCTGGCATACGGAGAGTGGGCCTGGCGTTTTTGAAGCTGTGCGTAGACCAATTTTTCAGTCTTCTGCAGTGAGATGGCACTAATGATGTAATAGGCACTGCAGTTCGGCGAAGTAAAGGACATGGCTGATCGGGGCGGCCTATTCAAGTACGTACTGAAAATATGCATAGAAAAAGACCGCGAAAAAAAAAGAAGGAGAAGAAGAAGAAGGGAATGCATATGCTAACTGTAAATCAGATATGTGGTCAAATCCGTCGGCTCCAAGTTCGGTATTACACCCGTCTTCATGGCCAAACCACGTCAAGGCCTCCCCGGCAACAGCGGCCACATGCATATCTCCCTCGTCGACGAATCGGGAGCCAACCTGTTCGTCCGCGAGTCTCGCGATCCCTCCCCGCCGTACCCTGACCTAGCCTACATCTCTGACATCGGACGACATTTCCTTGCTGGAATTCTGTCTGGCCTGCCCGATATCATGCCCATTGTCGCTCCCACAATAAACTCGTACAAGCGACTGGTAGAAAACTTCTGGGCGCCCGTGACGGTTTCATGGGGCCTGGAGCACCGCGCTGCGTCTATCAGAGTGATCTCCCCGCCGACCTGCAGCGGGAAGGGAACGAGATTTGAAATCCGTGTCCCCGGCGCCGACGTCAACTCGCACTATGTCCTCGCTGCAATTGTTGCACTGGGATGGCGTGGAGTGGAGAAGAAGCTTGATATTCCCATCCCTCCACTGCCCAAGGGCGAGGATGTCGGCGGAAGCGCAGACAAGGGCGAGCGGTTGGCGAAGAACCTGAAGGAAGCCGTTGCTCGGTTCACGGCCAAGGAGAGCGTTGCCCGCGAGGCGCTTGGAGACGACTTTGTAGATCACTTTGGTGGGACGAGAGAGCATGAGATTCGTCTCTGGGAGGAGGCTGTTACCGATTGGTATGTTCTATTTTTTTTTCTGCTGCGTTCCTTGCATCTGGTGTCACGATCAGATCTGGCTAACGAATGTTCATTATTCCGGTATTGCAGGGAGGTAAAACGATATATAGAAACCGTGTGAATCTGACAGCGTATATATACAGCTATACAGCGTATGTATGTATAGAGTAACTACAGAAGGTTTTTTTTTTTTTTTCTTTTTTTGGGAGGTTTTTCAGAACTACAGTGCTATCACGCCCATTATCATAAATTATAGCAGCTCCTCCCGCTGCCACGCCCATCACCACCAGGTACCTACCTGCCTACAGAGAACCCTCTGCGCCATGGTAATTTCGCCGCCTCCCGCCAGGTACCACAGCCAGGTACCAGACACGGAATACCAGAACAGACGTAAAATAAAAATAATAAAAGACGGTAAACACCCACACCATGGGGCCTGGTACAGCGATCTCCCGAATACCGGCACTATGTATCGGCCGTTTCTTCCCCAGACTCTGGGATTTCCGGGTATACGTATTATCAGAGTATAAAGCATGTTTTTTTCACCCTCCTCGAACACTGCCCATACTAAAACGCACGCGTATCAGTCCAGTTCCAGTAATTAAAAAAAAGCTGCAGAGGCCCGGCGGTAACTAACGTCAGGATACACCTTGGGGATAACACCCTTTTTACCGCCCGTACCAGCGGGAGCTAGCATTTTAGGGGCGAGCTTAGGTATATAAAACCTTATGGAAAGCTTAAAAATTCTAAGTAACTGGTAGACTAGTAAGTAAGTAAAAGTAATAAAATAATAGGGGAGCAGGATATAGGGGTATTTTTTGGCCATTTAGACGCCGCCCGGAATTTAAGATTAAGTTGGTGCCTTACGGTAAGAATAGAGCCATGGGTGGGGGGAAGTGTGTTATTTACTGGGTGTTTCTAGGTATTAATTATCGTTATGGTAACGGTATGGAAGCAGGAGGGTGGCATTTTTTGCATTATACGTTAGATGGAATCATGGAAAAAGACAAGGAAAGCAAAATAAAGGAGTAAAGGTCTTTGAAGAATAACAAAGGTGCAATAAAGTGGTATCAAGAAGAGAAGAAAAAAGAACATAAATGAAGAAGATAGAGGGAAAAAAAGAAGAGAAAAAAAGGGCAAAGCATTAGCGGGTTGGGAGGCAGAAGAGACAAGGCGCCAGGCAACTTTGGAGATGGGCATAAGGTATATAACGTTGGATAGGAGAGGGAACAGAAAAGAAAAAACACCACATTTCCCTGGCCATGATGTAAGTATAACCGATTTTCCATACAAGCAGAAGCATTACTAAAGGGGTCATTCAAGCGTTGGTCGGGGGCTCTCTTTATTCTTATATTTCTTTTGGGAGCGATGCAGAGGTGGTCTAGTTGACGCGGAATGCATCGAGGATTACTACATAAAAGTTAGACTGGTGTATATCATATCATGAAAAATAAGAGGAGAGAAATACCTTCCGAGCCACGACGACAGCCGCTGCCAACCCACATGATGGTGTTGACAAAGGCGTACCGCTCGTCGCCTGTTTCCATGGAGATGTTGACGCGGTACTTGTAGGTGTTTGGGTTGATGGAGTCGGCGACGGTGGGATCGGCGACCTTTTCTAGCACTTCCTTGGCGCCGGTCATCCAGCCGTTTGCCTTGACCATGATGAAAGCGGGTGGTTCGTCGGAGGTCTGCAGGAGGTAAGACGACTTCATGCTGGTAGCCAGCTCCTTGACCACCACCTGGGAGTCTTGACCGCCGGGCTAGACGATGTTAGTTTTAGCCTTGGGTATATATATATATATATATGTTCAAAGAGATGAAAGACTCACCAAGACTACTCCCTTGCCCCATCTGCCGGCCCACTGCCCGCCGACAAAGGTGACCCAGTCCCGCTGGCCCCAGATGCTGTGACCCAGGGAGACGGAGGGATTCAGCTTGATGCTCATGCGGAAGTCCAGCTCGAGCGTGGGCGCGGGCAGCTGCAGGGAGCGGGCAATGTCTCCCTCGGGAAAGGTGTGCTGCAGGTTGTTTGCCGGGATGGAATCCTTCATGACGTTGAGATATGTCGGGCACTCGAGCAGATGCTGGCGCTGGCGGCTGGTGTTTTTGGCCCGCACCTGCTGGCAGTATATACATTGCACCGAGAGACACTACATATACCCAGTCAGCATATTCTAACAGGATATATAATGGAGTAAAATGGAGTAAAAAAAAGACCGACCTTATCCTCCTCCTTTGCGCGGAACTCGACAAAGGCAGCGTGCACGTCGTCGAGCGGCGGCGCAGGCAGGCTGGAGGTGCTCTGGCGGGCCTGCTTGGCCTTGGGGGTGCTGTGGGCGCGCGCAGGGGCGGCGGCGGGAGCAGCAGCGGACGGCGGAGCGGCCTGGGAGGGCAGCGAGGGACGGCCGGGAAGGCTGGCCATGGGCGTCTGCATCCCGCCGGCAGCAGCGGCGGCGGCGGCATGGGGGTTGACTCCGGGCGTCATCAGCCCGCCGTTGGTCGAGGGCAGCGCCGCGGTGGCCGGTCCTGGAGCGCCCGGAGCGCCCGGAGGCCCGCCTGGCGCCGCTCCGTAGCCATTGGCAGCTCCGCCGACGCCGTTGGGCTGTTGCTGCTGCTGCTGCTGCTGCTG